GTCATATAAGAGGGACTTTTTAATTTGAATACAATTAACAGCTGAATATTGCTGTCGATACTGTATGTGTTCAAAGAAATGAAAAAAAAAGTCTTTTTGATTTGATCACAGTCATCATCCCTTTCTCTTCATTTTAAATTTCTTCATGCATTCAAGAAATTTCATTTTATATGTATAGTTTTTTGACGAAATGTGGATTGCTTTGTAATTATATTATTACTGATTCTCTCACTCTTACTAGTTTTATTGATATGCACTATGCTCCGTCTCACAACACTTCAAATTCATTTTTTTTTCTCTTCACTCAAATATCATTGATTGTCTCTCCGTTTGTAAGAAAACAATTCTAAAAAACATAGCGCTGAATATTCGGTGCTGATTCACAGTGATACAAGATAATTTACACAATTTGTAAACGCCATGTTCTCTTACGAGTACCCTGAATAATTAATATGCTTATGTGATAATAATTTACTTTTTCCAGGTTATCCGATTTGCTGAAGTGCTCAAATATGTCTGATCAGAGATCATATGTTAGTACTCATTTTTGCCTTAAATAATGATACAATAATTCAGATAGTAAATAAAACGAATGAAAGAGATTGGCTTGAGTTAGTTGTGTAATCGTTGGATAACACCAATCCGGTATCTTCACTTCCGGTTAATTCAACTGCATCAATCAATAGAACCCAGCAATCATTAACAGCTATCCGAATCGCTTATATCTAATGCAATCATATTTAATAGAAATATTTGTTGATGATTGATTTAGTACTTAAGATTGAATCATTTGCAGCCAATTCCATATCGCAGCCAACTGCAAGAGAAGATTGAACCTGGACAAACACTGATTATTAAGGGATCAACGATCGATGAAAGCCAACGGTATGTATTGAACTCAGTTTCAGGTTAACTTCAGTTAGTTCTACGTCCTTTAGGGATGTGATATTTTTATTTCATCACTTAGTAACTATTGCATGGTCTGATTCGACATTATAAAACTTCCTTATTGTGTCTTACTGAATGTCGTTAAATGTAGCTATAGATGCAGAAAAAAAAAATAAAAATTTCCATATAATGTAGTGACAGGTAATAGTGGAACTTGTCATTTGAAATTACAACAGCAGTAAAGAAATGTTAATTAGTCTTAATGGAAGAAGATCCTTTGATTATTCATCATTATTTGTTCAGATTTACGGTGAATTTACATTGCAAAGCAGCAGACTTCAGTGGTAATGATGTCCCACTTCATATCTCAATTAGATTTGACGAGGGCAAAGTTAGTTCCTATTTATATTATATTCCGACCTTCAAAATTTCTGTTGCTGTTCGGAATATTTCGATAATATTCAAACGTCTTTAAAGACTTAACCAGTGGAAGATGCTCTGAAAATAAGCATTTTTCGAATGCTTTGCTTAGTACATGAAACATACAAATCAGATCACTACTGTCATCAGTACAGAAAAAATCCGTCAAACTTCATATGATATTTTAACTAGAACAAATAAGTATTACTTATTTTAATTCTAGTACTATGCCTGCTGGGAGAGAGAAATTGATAATATGTTGTTTGTAGATTGTGATGAATAGTTTTGAGAATGGAGAGTGGGGTAAAGAGGAACGCAAGAATCTTCCATTCAAAAAAGGTACACCTTTCGATATCCGAATTCGAGCGCATGATGATCGATATCAGGTATGAATTCCCGATTTTTTCAATCATCGATATTACGTTTTGATAGGATGTGTCTGGTAATTACAAAAGATGTAGGTGTAGAAGCTTATCTGAGGACGAAATAATGAGTGTTATCCGTAGGCTCATATATGCCGAATTGGAAAGCTAAATTAGTTATCTTCCAGTTGTTCATATAGAAGAATTTGAGGCGAAGGAAATTGGCAATGCAGTCGTTTTGTAAGGATACAGTTTAGTACTATTTAATTAATGTTGCTTTGGGTAAAAAATTACTTACAGAGAATGAAAATTATAGATTTTCTGCGACCAGAAGGAATTCAAAGATTTCGAACACCGCCTGCCATTGTCTTCCGTATCTCATCTATCGATTGATGGCGATTTATATCTTAATCAAGTACACTGGGGTGGAAAATATTATGTCCGTTCAGTTTTTGGAAATCATAATTATTGATTGTTCAAGGACACTTAATTTTCTTTCACTTTTAATTAATTTTTAATTAACAAAGATGCAGTAATGCTTCTGGACAAAAATTCTAATTAGTTTCAGCCTGTGCCGTATGAAAGTGGTATTTCGCAAGGTTTGAGTGTCGGCAGAACGCTTATGGTATTCTTATGCCCGGAGAAGAAAGCGAAACGTTTCAACATTAATTTGTTAAAAAAGAATGGTGATATTGCATTACACTTCAATCCTCGCTTCGATGAAAAGGTCAACTTTTTTAATGCCTGTTTCTTCTTGATAATTACAATTATAGAATTGGAAATCGGGTTTTATGTCTCAGTTTGAAATAATTTCCATCAGTTTATATATTTAAAAAGTAGGTTTCTATAATTCTCCATGAACTTAGCAGTCGTCTGCTTGGTTGAAGACTAGTTCAAGTATCATTGGCTTATTTCTTTATATTCCACGCTATGAAATGCTTCTCTTATATTCATTATCTCATAGTTTTGTGTTCATTAAAATGCAGTAGAAATGTTATGAAGAAAAAAAAAATTGAAAAAGTCCGTGGTATTTACTTGTACAAGTCATGTTATTTGTTTATCTTGTTTTGATGTTGTATAACTGAATACTCGTTTTATTTATTGTGACTCGATTTCTATTGTGTTGTTACAATTTGAATTATTTCAGGCAGTTACGCGTAACGCTCTTCAAGCTGGCAATTGGGGTAATGAGGAGAGAGAAGGCAAGATACCGTTCGAGAAGGGCGTTGGGGCTGATTTGAAAATTGTCAATGAAGAATATGGATTTCAGGTTTCCTGAGTTTTCATATTAGTTTTTTTTCCATATTCAGACTTGAATCATCTAAGTCGCCCGAAAATGGGAGAAAATTCGTGGAAAAGTTCAGTCTATACAACTGTAGTAAAATTTGGTACTCAAGAACTGCAAGAAAGTATTTAACGAAACAATCAGACAAATGATATTCTATTGCACTTTTATTTATTTTATTCATTTTTGCATTATTTAGCTGTATTAATTATTACAGATTTACGTGAATGATGTACGATTTTGTTCATTTGCTCATCGTTCAGATCCTCATGACATCACCGGTTTGCAAATTCATGGTGATGTCGAACTTACGGGCATACAAATTCACTAAATAAAGGATTCAATTTCTCGATATCATACATACTAATCTTTCTAAATTCCTAACCAAATTATGTGTTTTGTTTCTTTTATCGTATTTCATCAGCAAATGTTCTTTTCTTGGGCAGTGAATTCTAGTTAAGCGATAATGCCTGTTCTATTTCGGTTGTAGGTGTCTCATGGGTAATGTAATCGGTTATTGGTTGATTTCTCTTATTTTTAGAACCGTTAACAACTTCTTTCGTTATTTTTCAAGCATCTTATTTCTTTTAAATCTTTCAGAGTGTGAAGTTTCTTTATGTATCATCAGTGTTTGCTAAAGTTAGATTCCCAATGTAATTCAAAGGCTCTTGGACTTTAAGTAGTTCTACACTGTACCATTTCCTTTCCATCCGTTCCATACATTGTTATCCATAATGTTTTTGTATGTGGAAGTAACTTTTTTGATGTCATGTTCTATGGAATGTGAATTGCTTCAGAAACATCGGAAGTTAGAAGATCTTGATTTTGTAATCCCAATTTAAAAAACTATATAATTCACACGTGTGGTTCTTTTTTGATATGAATGTCAGTAATATAGGATACACTGTTCTTTGTTTCAGTTTTTGATCACAGGAATATTTATCTTGAAATTGATTTTGAGTTTAAAATGTTCATTGGGGTTACTACTAAGTAAAATTTGAATCCTTGTGAAGCAAGTAAAATTATTCAATTCTGGAAAATATGTTTCATTCTTGATAATGAACTATGTATCGGTTGTAAAAGTTAGAAGTTCATTTTGGACGGTGGAGAGGTATGAGGAACCCGACTTGTATACAGGTTATCTTATTTCATAAAAAGGGATTTGGTTGAATAAAGACATCTAATTGGTACTATGTTGGTGAATTAAGCGAATTTTAAACTTCAGAAGACCAGTGTAGAAACATCGGAGTTCCTTATGAATTGTTTGTAGTGGAAGGATAATTTCTGTGATAGATGCGTAGGGCTTTGCATATCGAAATTAAAAATGAATATTTGCCTGGTCTCTAGTTGAAATTCAACTTAAGATTAGGTTAACTTTTCAGTAAAGTATGGAAGTGATATTTAGGGATGGTACAAATGACGAAGTATGACACCGTGAAGCGATGTTCAGGAATTCTGGGCAGCGAAGATCTTAATAACCTGGATGGTAGCTGGTTGAACTGTCGTTTCTTTTCAACTGTTACTTGTGAGAGATTCAATTGATGTTGTGCTCAAGGAATGTTTGGATATTGGTATTGTGTTTACTACAAATTGCTGCTGTTTCCCTGTTCATTTCGGGTTTCTTCCCCAAACAAATACATTTACTGGATTCCGAAAGCAGTGAACAAGATGTGAACAAATTTCTAGATGGTAATAAATTGAAGTGACTAGTATTGAAATAGAAATTAAATGATAGTTTGAAACAAGTGAGACGATATTAATTGGTACGATCTTCTACTGTGTGTGTTTTCAGTCGTTAAGTTACTCTTCTAATTTGATCTTTTTCGGGTACGATTTAACAGCTTCTTTCACCAGTATATTAATTTTTTCGGGCCCTTTCTGTATTAGCCGATCATCTAGCTATTGACCGATATTACGAAAATTAATTTTTATTTGCAGTTGCAGATTGCGTTTTATATTCTTTGATATTCTCTGGAGTCATCATTTCAGAATGCCCTCATGACAGCATCTTGAGGAAAGCAATAAAGAAGCAGACAGTAGCAAAAATGGTGATAATATTAATTGATGCTTGGCAAGAGCAGTTTTTCTATCGCCGAAAGGCCATGCAATTTTTACGTCAATTGACAAACGATGGCCAAGCTGTCGCCTTCATTGCGCATGTGCAAACGCCTACCGTAACAATGCCAAGGATTAAGGCTAGTAATTCTTTTAGGCTTATTTTTTAGATATCGAGTCAAATCAAAGAAATCATTCAGTGTTAAATTTCAGGCAGTAACAGCTGGTGTGATACCTTCATTTGCTGATGTTGTGATGAATTTTGCATCTACTTCCATAACAAGCGATAATATCATTGATCGACTTAATGATAAGGGTTATAGGTCATCTTCGAAGTTTTGAGGAGGCATTTTATAGCTTGAACGTTTCTTTTATTAGCGATTTAATTTTACAAATTAATAGAACCTATTTTGTTATGCTTTCATCCAAGAGAAATGTAGAGAAAATTATTGAAACAAAATGTTACCATTCAGATGCACGTTTTGCGGCGACGAAACATGGCTACGACTATTTCCGAATCGTTTCGATAACCATTCGGCAGGGGTCACGTCATTCTACGTCAATGATTTCAAAGAAGTAACTTTAGCTTTTTGGAAGTAAACACTTGGGAAAATGTTTTGTTAATTGATATTTTATATTGTACTTTATAATGGTGGTTCTTCTGTTGAATGCCCTGTCTTCTGATTTGGATACAAGAAATAAAGAATATATTCTGCAGTGTCGAAAGGGGGCTTTTTAATTGTTCCTAGAAACTTATAAACTATTACTATTGAATTAATTTATTTGAAACGTTTTGTAGGTTGATGATAATGTAACATTTTGTATGCGTTCACGGCTTGAGAATAGTGCTGCGGATACATGGGATGTGATGATTCTGCATTACTTGGGACTTGATCATATAGGTCAGATTGAAAAAAAAACTTAAGTTTATGCGTCTCAAACTGGTCTATTTGTACATTAAAACAATTTAAGAAAGCATTTTACTCATTCTTGAAGCTATAAAAAATTTCCAATATGAAATATACTGCCCGACCTCGCAATAGTTTTCTTAAAGTGATTGGAAGCATTATGTTTTTTAAACAGTGGATTTTTAGTACAGGTCTGATGTAAATGTATAAGTTATTGGAATTGCGATTTTAGGACATTCTCTGGGTGGCACTCACAGTGAGCTGAATAATAAACTTATTGAAATGGATTCCGTTATCAAAGAAATTTACGAAAAACTCCAGAAAGTATGATGCAAATGTGTCAGAACAGTAGAACAGACAGAATTGAAACTTGGAAGTATGTCTCATTCTTTTATATACAACATGTACAGCATATAGCTTCTTCTTCGCCTGTTGTCTCTAGTCTCTAGATGTAATTGTGAATTAGTTGTGAAATAAGAATAGGTAGAAGCCATATGCTGTACATTGCATGTAAAGGAATGAGATATAATTAATTTAAAAAATGACGTATTAATTAATTGAATTTACAAGTCTGCATTGTTAGGAGAAAGAAACTGATGAATAAATATATTGATTTTGCACAATTCAGGTATATGGCACGAACTTTTCCATAATTGTGTTTGGTGATCATGGAATGACCGAAGGTGGAAGTCATGGTGGTTCTTCAGAATTAGAAACCCATGTACCCATTGTTTATGTTGATGGAAGGAAGCGACGTACTAGCAACGAAACGTTCTGTGGTAATTTTTCAACTTTAATTTTATCAGTCAGTGGTATAGATTTTTTCATGCTAATGTGTTAGTGAGAATTATCTATATTTTTCTAAATATAAATATATGCTATCATTGATGTACGTTCGATAAATATATTTGAACAAATAAATGATAAGAATTAGTGGGAAAGGAATTAGTGGAATCATTAGAAAATATTGATTTCATTTAAATATAATATTTGCAATTTGAAATTTAGTTTAGTACGTATATAAAATATGCTATTTTCCTAAAAGTTTCTAACCATTTCGGAGTTGACTTTTTTTTTTTTTGATAACGATGGTTTTGGATTTATATCATTTATCAGTAATTCAACTTGTAAGATGAAATAAAGTAGACATCGTTTCATATTTTTAACTTTCAGTAGCGTCAGTTGAGCAAGTCGATATTGTTCCAACATTGGCAACTCTTTTGAATATTCCAATTCCGAAAGAAAGTCTTGGTGTTACGCTTTTACCTTATATTACCACAGATAGGTCAAATCTTTCAGTATTACTATTCGTATTGCAAAACGCTGAACAATTTCGAAAGTTGTATGGAACATCAAGTAAGTAGTGTTACTGTTGTTTTATTACAAAAATTTTGATGTTTTTCCGAAGAAATTCTTGACAACTCTATCAACGAGCAGAAAAAAATTATTAAGCTGATGTGAGAATTATTAATGCATAAAAGATATGATAAAAATTAGATAGGATTTTTTATTTATCTTTTATTCAGGTGGCAAAACTCATAATATTTATAGATGTGCTAAACCACTGTATCAGTCATTTTTATGACAGTTTGCAAAAATATTGTGCAATGAATTTTTCTGTAAATGTTGATGGATTGATTGGGGAATGTTTGGAGGAATTACACAAAATTCAATCACAACTTATACATAAGAAAACGAATTTCGATGTTATACAGATAGTGACTGCTATTGGTCTCTCTTTTATTGTATGTTTTTTGAATTAACTCCCATTAAAAGATTTTTTTTAGCTTAAATGAGAGCATGCATTATGTAATAACTGTCAGTTAGTCGTACATTCTTCATTTTCATTTACTAATGAAAGTCTTAGACTATTCCTGAAGAAAACAAAAAGTTTTCCATTCACAAATCCAATTACCTATGCTATCTTTTGTAAACTTTATAGATTATATAGATTACTACATTTACAGACAGTTGGTGTAGACTGTTTAATTGATTCATTTCATTTATTAAAGAACAAAATAGTTTAAGAGGCGCAGTCTACTTTTCGAGCTACTGGGAAGAGTTTTTGCTTGGAAAAGTATACAGACTTGTCAGATCAAATGAATACGAAAAAGCATTAAACTGTGTATCATGTATCTCTTTTTCTTTCCTTATTTAGCGATTTAATTTTTGCTTTTGACAACAATATGGATTCTTTTGCAGGTATCATATATTTCCTCTTGTTTGGTTGGTTCTACATATTTATACGATATCTATGGTAAGTTTATTATAGAAATAAGATTACGATGAAATCCACTGATTCTTCAATAAGTCAGTTACCAATTAAATGAATGTTCAGAGATTTCTTACATATAAAATTCATATTTCAAGAAATGTTTTCAGCTTTCCAAAATGGTGATCTTTCAACAAATTTAGCTCTTTTTGCCCAGTTATTACACTTTGCCGCATCGTTTGCGTCAAGTTTGATAGAAGAAGAACATGACTTACAGTAAGTTTTCTTTTATTAATGGACCTTTCTATTATTATTATCTGATTAGATCATATCATTAGAAGAGTAGAGCAATTTGTAAAATTTTTTTATCAATATTATAAGTTCTTTTCTTACGGCTAAGTCCATCCATTATGTAATAATAGTACCACTAAACAGGACCCGTAAATTGAGTTTTTTTTTTTTTGATCTTCCAATGAAAAACTTGAGTCATCTTCCGATTTGATTTAATTCCAAAAAAAAGTTAAATGTAAAAATGTTACATCCAATTTTACTCTTTTAAATAATTTGCATGATTTAATTCTCAAGTTGGAACCTGAATCATCAGTCCATGTTTTCAAATTCTTTCTGGAGAAATTCTTTGAATAACTACTAGATTTGATGCGAACGATCGCGTAAATCTAGTAGTTAGTTATGCAAAGAACAATCACCATATAGCCGATTGTTCGCATTTCGTTGACGAGTTTGGCTTTTAATTTCTTTCTATTTTTTTTTTAATTTCAGATATTTCTTTTTTGCTTCTTGCCTTTTTGTTATGCTTCTGGAAGAACTTCATATCTGGTTATTTAGTCATAATAACAGAAGGCAAGTTTATTTCTTGTTCTTATGATCATATATCATTGATCAAACTTTTTTACAAGGTGGCACATCTTTTGACGTGATCAAATTTACAAAGTAATTAAGAATATATTGAAGGAATTTTTTGTCTAAACAAGCTTCAAAATTATCGTTTCTTAACTTGAGCAGACAATCTTCATTATTATGTTATAGGAAATAATATGAGCTATAGCATTCCTTTTTTATTCTAGAATTCGTTCCTATAATTCAGCGAAATCCCAGAAGATAATAACAATATTATTTTCATTAATAATTCATCGTTTATGTCGAAGTTACACAGAATCAAATCGACGACGTTGGATTCTGGAAAGAAATATTAGTCAAAGCAACAGAAGTAAATTAATTTTAATTTTTATCCAAACTTTCCAATCCAATTTTCAAATTATTTTTGAAGCTTCAACTTTATTTCAAACTCTTCGAAAGGGGAACTTTGTTGTAATTGTAAATGAAATAATACACGATGCTTTTTGAAAACGATTAACTTGAAAATCTCATGATTCTTGAAATTTTGAATATTTTATTTTATTTTTTATTTTTCATGTAATTCAACGACTAACATTAGTCTGTTTCCGAAGGGGGGGAAGTTGTTATAGTATTATATCTAACATTCAGTACCATAAAAATTTCACTGATTTGATCGGTGTAATCCTTTTTTAAGTTGGTTTTCTGAATTATTACGAGATTTTTACGAGCATCGGTGGTTCTAGCGATATGCCGGATATTGCATCTTTATTGTAAGTTATGATTTAAATTTTGACTTATTTCTCGAATATAAATTATCGCGTTTTAAGTGAAAGTTCTTCAAGAATCAAAGATATTTTTTCTTCATATTCTTCATTTGTATTATATAGAAAATATATCACTAATTTCAGGGTGCATTGATGTTGAGTATTCATAAGATAGTTACAGGATGATAGCCAACTTAATAGCTTAACTTTCGCTAATAGCAAACATCTAAAAAAAGGAAAAAAAACTATTAAATAGCAATCTTTCTTATTTATAGTTTTTTTTTCTGATTTCTGAAGAATAATTTTATTCACTTCAGGAAACAGTTTAACAACTTGCGTCTCATTTCTTGTTCATTATCTCTGATTTTAATTGGTATTCTGTTAATTTTATATTACGGTAAAAGGACAAGTTATCCAAAACTTATACGTTTCTTGATACTAGCTATTCTATTTGGAACATTTTTGGTGCATCATTACAAATCTCAGTGAGTTGTTGTAATTTTCTGAAATTTCGGAGTTTTTTTTTTTTTTTTCTTAGTGTAATTACAAAAATTGAACATTTTGCTATAAGTAAATTAGCTGCTCAAAATATAGTTTGGAAAATAGTTTTTTTTTTTTTTTTTTGCGAAGCATTGAATCAATAATTTTGGTAATGTATTAGTAGATTTTGCAATAATTCACTGTTAGCTTTGTTGTAACTCATAAGGCAAGATTTGAGGTTGAAAATCAACTTCCATTTTTTTCTTTCATTAAATTTGTAATTCTTTTGTAAAAAGTTTTCGAATACAAATTACAACATGATACAGGGTTGTATTTTTAATGGTATTCATATTGAATGTGTTTTTGTTGCTATTACTTCGAGATCTGTCTCTAAGCTTAATCGTTTGGGCAGTGCTTATCATGCGAACATATAATCTACCACTTGCTGTTCTACAATTGTTTCTGGGATATTGCTTGGCACGGATTGATGCGACACCATTATTGATTATCCGTGCTATCTTTTCCTCGTTTTTTTATTTGGCAAGTATTTGTCTCTTTTTCCACACATAACTTTTTTAGTTTATTATTATGTTATGTTGTATATTTATTAGAACATATATTCTATTATGTGTTTTATCTGTATTGTAACGGGACAGTTAGAATTATATTTTAGAGTGATCAAATCTGAAAAAGTTTGGCGTCAATCAGTAAGACACGTTTTAGTTTGTGAGAAAGTTTAAGTTCAGTTGAAAGATACTATTCCGGTAGCGATTCAAAATGAATATAAAATTGTAAAATAGATGGTTATCCTGTGATTTATTACGCTAATGGATCAAATCTTGATCCTTTAGTTGGTGATAAAAGCATCGTAGTTCTATTCAGGTCTGACAGGCTTGAAACAAGAATAGAAGAGTTGATTTCCGTTGCAAAAAGTATAATCCTGTATACGATGCTTTCATTATCCAATTCTATGTTTTTCGATTTGATTTTAAATTTTGATCCGTAGCATTTCCAACATCATTAAGGGTTCTTGTTATTTTGATCCTAGTTTATAGGGTAATTCGAATAATTTTTCAACAGTCGACATTGCGGTTGGATTTGCTGGCGTTGAAACCTATCAACCAATACAAATTGCTGTACAAATTATACTCAGTACCTATTCTGGACCACTGTTGATAGTATTTGGTTGGTGGCAGTATTTAGTTGAAGAATCTGTCACATCGATTTCACTGTTACATAAACGAAATTCACTGCTTTGCTGGATATCCTCTGTGTTGCAACTCAATGTGTCATTGTGTTTGTTATCTCTGTATATTCAACGTTATCATCTCTTTGTTTGGTCTGTTTTTGCTCCAAAATTTGTATATGAATTTTCTCATCTTGTGCTACTCACTGTAGTTAACATTCTGGTTTACATTTATGACAAGTTTGATTTATGAGCTTTATATATATATATATAATATTGAAAAGCTATATCTAGATAATGTTAGAATAGGCGAGATAAAAAATCATTAAAAGAATCAGCATGCTTTCGTTATACAAACATATTTTGATTAATCAAAGTAACAAATTACCTTTAAAGTAATAAATCTTTTAATCAGGTTTACAGCATTAAAGATTATCCATCGTGTGATATTTTGGGATTCCTGCAATCTAATGATAAGGTGTGTTGTAATATCTTGGGATTTTTTCATAACATAAAGTTTGCCACATTTTCAATTATTGTCATTTAACGATGACCATAAATTGTCCAAACAATTCAGGAATAATTTTAATGCTGTAGTGCATTTTCAAACCATAGCAAATAACTTGATATCATAATACCTGCTCCACAATTTGGGATCATCGCTAAATATGTATAATTGAAGTCATGGTAGGTTTACTGCCATTTTTGAATTTAGGTACTTCTTGAGAATGGGCTAGTTCCTGGACTATCTATTCTTGGTTTAGTCGATGAATTTATTAAATCATGAACATTTTTGTATAATTTTAAAGTTATCTTATTTTCTCTCCTTTGACTTACTAATTTTAAAATACCTTTTTCTTGAGCGCTATTTTTTCTTTTTCTTTTACAATAAATGCTAGTCTTATCATATATTAGTTGATGTATTTTAGTCTTAGTGCATAAACGGGTCATTGCTTGCTGATCATAAGTTTTGAATACGTGAAATAAATGCAATTATATAAAGTATCCATCCTCGAGAGTATCTGTTTCTCTTTTATGAGGATATTCTGATTCTTTGCATCTGTTGTTCTGATTTAACTGACTCCGTCATTTTTCTAAAACTATTAGCGTTTTGATTATCCATACTTAACTAATGATTTTGATTTGTTGTGTTACTAAATAAACATATGATCCATCCGAATTTGAATATATTTAGCTTTCATCTAAGGCTTAACTTGATTATATAATCTTTAATGCTTTAATAAACAGGAACATTATGATCCTTGTAATTTATTTAACATATGACTATGGTTGTTGTAAGTCGATGTGTTACACTGATTATTTTTATTACGAGTTTGAATTAAACATAAATCGAAGATTTTATGGCTAAATTTTATGGATGAAATCGCAGGCGACAATTTCTGCATCATCAGGGATTCCTGCTATGTGATCATACAGCACCTCCTGCACTATGAAATTAACATGGTAATCGATATGTGGATGACTTGAAATATCGAAAGTTAGCTTTGTTGTTGGATTTTTAAATAGCAGAGAAGTGAATTAATGTGGATGAAGGTGATATTAACTGCTTCAGTATTCATTTAATAAGAGAATGGGGATTTTTGATCTTTTTAATTTCACTTCTGCGAGTCCATGAGTGGAGAAGAGACATGTTATCTCCTGTTTGCACAAATTTTAGAATTTAAAACTCTGCAAGAGTTCTTACCTGTACGAATGGGCAATATCTATGAGTGCCATCAGACCCATAAAAATTTTGAAGCTTTGATTTTGACAATATTTTGAAATGATGAGCTAATGTTCGAGCCTAAACCGTAGTGGAAATGAATAGATAAAGGAAGAGCAAATTGTTACAATTAATAATGGATCTTTATAAAAAAAATTACTACAGATCAGAAAATTCAATACCCGTAATCCAAATGTTGTCTTGGGAGTACGAACATATGAAAATATGTTGCAATTCATTGGTATCATCGTGGATTTTGTACTGTTTGA